CCGCTCGCCCCGCCCGCCGCTCCGCCCCCCGCCCGGCCTGGCTGGGCGCGCGCGCGCACGGGGTCGCGCTCCCGGGCGGCCGAGGCTGCACGTAGCCGCCCTCGGCTCCCCTTGTCCCCGCCCTCCGCCCGCCAGCCCCGGGCGCTGCGACCCCCGCGCGGCGGCCGAGTCGCTGGGGACGCGGCAGGCGAAGGGAGAAGAAGGGAGGGCGCCGGGGAGCCGCCTGGAGCAGCGCGGGCTTGACGAGCCGCGGGCAGCTCTGGAGGGCGCGGGCGAAAGGGTCGCTCGTCGGCGAGAAGGCTGGGTGAGCGGGGACCTCCGAGCCGCCCCCTTGCGACAAAACCGCCTTCCGGGCAAGCACTCTCACGCCCCCGCCTCCGCGGCGGGAGGGGGCGCCGTGCGGCTGAGCAGAGCAAGGGGTCGGGGACTTCGCCGAGGGCGAAAGCAGGTAGTTAAGGTGTGGGCAAGGGCAGAAAAGGCCACAGGAAATGGAAGGGGAGGAAACGTGAGTCCCTGTGCGACTCCAACCCAGCCTCCCCGTCTGCCGGAAAAGTAAATTTCCTCCTGGACGTGGCCACGAGGAAGGCGAGATGGCCCGGGATGCCATCCTCGCCCGAGGGTCTGTTGCAACGACACAAACCGGGACAACACACGCGCCCCTCTCCCGCGACGGAACAGTGCCTAGGGGACTTCACTGCTTCTTGGGACGGTCTTGTGGGAAATCCGGAGTGGGTTTATAGACCACGAACCATCAAGCTTTTGACCTCTGGGGAAGGACAGAACGCGCGGCTGGAAATTGTTCTAGAACCCTACCTGAGCAGGTGTGCCCGTTCGTTGCGCATCCGCGCTCCTCCTGGAGCACTGTCACAGGTGCTGGCAAAGGAGGTACCAGGGTTTCACGGAAGAAGGAAGCACCGCTGAGAACTGTGTGTAAACGTCCATGAGAATTTTTTTAGGGCTTCAAAAAGATAGAGAAATGAGATCAGAAAAATGTTCCAGCTGTGCAACCCGGTACTGGGCACAGAAACCGACATGTTTTAATAAGCTCCCCAGGTGATACTTAAGTAGGCTTGAGTTTGAGAGCCTCTGGTATAGGGTTCCCCTAGATAACCACCTCTCACTTTTCTCAAAAACTGGCTGGCTAGTTGACAACCCACGGTCAAGCTTTGGCCGGGCAAGGAGTTACTCTTCCCTGCTATACGCCACGCTTTGAAATAGGCCTGGGCTTCGGTGGAACTGAGGCTATGCTGAGGTCACTGGATGAGCCAGGGTACTCACAAAGGTGTGAGGGCCAGGAGATCCTGCTAATTCAGTACCACAGAAGCTATGACACTAGCTAACAATGACTTCGGCCCTTTGGGTGAAATAATCCTCTCTCCCTCAAAGCGCCTTCCACCCACCCAAAACACAGACCAATCTGGTAGGCGTCAAAAGTAAGGTCTTTCAACAGCAGATTTCCCTGTAAACAGGAAAGCCCTGACAAGCCTGTTGGAGCTATGTTGTAATTCTATATATAAATAGAACAGTCGCTGCAGGAATACTGGATAAGTCAGAGGAAAGGTCTGTCTTAAGCTGATGTGACACATTTCAGAAAAGGACTAGAAATGAGATTCAGTTGATGACAGCTGATCCCTAAATGTGATGTATCTTTGCAGTAAAAATCGACAGAGATATGCCATATGCCCCAACACAGGAAGAGCCTCCCCCCTCATCAGCGCCCCCAACCAGAGTGGGGTGCATTTGCTACAGCTGATGAACACACAGTGACACGTCATTATTTATAACCCAAAGTTCATTGTTTACATTAGGGTTCACCCTTGGTATTGTACATTGTATGGGGTTGGGTAAGTGTATGACATGTATCCATCCAGTGTAGCTTCACTGCTGCCCTAAAAATCCTCTGTGCACCGACCACCTCGTCATTCCTTCCTCCCCCAAACCCCTGGCAACCACTGATGTTTTACTGTCACTATAGTTTTGCCTTTTCCGGAATGTCACATGTAAGGAATCATACAGTACCATAGTCTTTCTCTCAATTTTGCTGTGAACCTAAAACTCCTCTTAAAAAGTCTTAAAAAGGGGGAGGGGGGGCAAGGGCAACATTTCATAACCTAAACATCCATACCCCCATAATATGCTGAAATAAAAAAAAAAATCTTAAAAAGAAAAATCAATGGAAAAGAGAAAGTTCAGATAACTCAGTAATTTGGAGAGGGGGAAAAAACTAGTTGAATTCTCATCTCATTTCATATATCCAAAATAAGTTCTAGAAGGATTAATGAGATAAGTTTATTTTTAAAAGCAAACCGGAAGAAAATAGAATATTTGTTAAACCTCTGGATAGAAGTATTTCTCAACTTAGAAGCAATAGAAATAATCAATGGATATAACTGAGTGATATCTTAAAAATTTCTATGTGTCAAACTTTTTAAAATATAACCTAAACTAGAAAAGAAAATATTGGCAACAAACATGAAAAATATAAGTCTGACTATCTGTATGATAAGCAGGGCTTATGTAGTTAAAGTAAAGTGTAGACTCTCAATGATTGAGTATAAACAGAAAACAAACTTTAACATCAGAAGAAATCAAAATAGTAACAAATCTATGGGGAAATTAACCTTTCTGTAATCAAAGAAATATACATTAAAACAAATTAACAGGCCAAGTACAGTGGCTCACACCTGTAATCCTAGCACTTTGGGAGGCTGAGGTGGAAGGATCACTTAAGGCCAGGAGTTCCAGAACAGCCTGAGCAACATAGTGAGACCCTGTCTCTACAAAAAGGAAAAAAAGAAAAATTAGCTGGATGTGGTGACACGCAGCTGTAGTCCCAGCTACTCCAGAGGCTGAGGCAGGAGGATCACTTGAGCCCAGGAGTTTGAGTTTGCAATGAATTATAATGACACCATTGCACTCTATCCTGGGCAACAGAGCAAGATCTTGTCTCAAAAAAAAAAAATTAAAATGAAAAAATAAAGATACAAAGATAATGAGCACTGCTTAGCACATACATTGCTGGTATCCTTATGAAATGATATGTCTTTTTGGAAAGCATTTTGGCTGTCTATAGCAGATCAGAGTGCTCCTACATTTTGACTCAGCAGTTCCACTTCTGGGAATCGACCCAAAAATATACTCCAAAATATGGACAATATTATATACTGCAAGTTACATATCATAGCATTATTTATATTAAAGAGCTGGCCACAAATTAAAGATCAAAGAGTAAGGCAATACCAACTCCTTGCAGTCACCTGGACCGCAACGTTTCTTCCCATTTCTGAGCCTTTGCCCATGTCATTTTTGGTCTCTGCCTGGAATGCTCTCCTAGTCCGTTGTCTGTGAGCTGACCCCTCTTACTTATCCTTCCCCACTTTTGTTCAGCATCTTGAAGGCTCCTCCTCTGTTCCCTCCACCTGCTGTGTTCTTCCATTCTGGCACGTAGAGACTACCTATAATTACTTGTTACCTGCCTGTCCCCCCCACTCTGCTGTGACTCCTTCAAGGGTGTGGCCTAACTCTTTTTAGTCTTACAATCGTGAGTGCCCTGCAGATGTAGCAGATGCTTCATAAATATTTATTAAAGGAATGAATGAATCATTTGCTCAAACTTTGTACAGCTATTAAGGATGAATATATAAAGAGTATCTGGTGAAAATTTTTGCATGCTACAAATCCAATAAAGGGCTGATAACTAGAATCTACTTAGAACTCGGGAAAATCAACAAGAAAAAAACAAACAACCCTATCAAAAAGTGGGCAAAGGACATGAACAGAAATTTTTCAAAAGAAGACAGAATCATGGCCAAAAAACATATGAAAAAATGCTCAACATCTCTAATCATCAGGGAAATGCAAATCAAAACCACAATGAGATATCACTTATCTCCAGTGAGAATGGCTTTTATCAAAAAGTCCCAAAACAATAAATGTTGGCATGGATGCGGAGAGATAGGAACACTCGAACACTGCTGGTGGGACTGCAAACTAGTGCAACCTCTGTGGAAAGCAATACGGAGATAACTTAAAGAGATACGAGTAGAATTACCGTTTGATCCAGCAATCCCATTACTGGGCATCTACCCAAAAGAACAAATGACACTCTATAAAAAAAGACACCTGCACCCGAATGTTTATAGCAGCACAATTCACAATTGCAAAGATGTGGAAACAACCCAAGTGTCCATCAATACATGAGTGGATTATCAAAATTTGGTATATGTTTACAATGGAATATTACTCAATCATAAGAAACGACAGTGATCTAGCACCACTTATACTTTCCTGGATTAAACTTAAGCCCATTATCCAAAGTGGAGCATCACAAGAGCAGAAGAATGGGCTCCACTTGTACTAGCCATCAAACTGGTACTAACTGATCAACACTAGGGTGATCACATGGCAGAAATACTCTCTAGGGATTAGGGGGATGGGGGGGCAAATCTACAACTAAAGGACACGGGGAGCACTAAAGGGAGGGAAGGGCATGCCTTTAACCTGCCTTTGGGCAAGGCAAAGACATAAAGTGTAACTACAATGTTTGTACCCTCACAAAACCCTGGGATAATAAATAAATAAATA